AGGGCTTTCTTTTCTCCTTACAGATAAGAGTTATGCAATTTGGGACTCTTTTAGATAGACCCACTGAAGGGCTACCCCAATTGCCTCATCCTGCACCCCTGTTCAGCATGGAAGAAGCCAGAGTGGTCTGCACCTGATTCCCTATCAGCAATTTGGGTAACCTCTTCAGAGGATGGTGTGATAAGAATAGGAGGTGGGAACTGGCTAAGCAGTTAGGGTAAAAAAGACCCCAAAGAAAAGTAGTCAATTTCTTGGCTAAAAGTCAAAATGTCCTTGGGCCTCTTAGGAACATACTATGTTCCCAAGCCAAAAATGGCAAAAGTATTTGGGACTTATCTAAAAGTATTTGGCTCTTATCTAATCCCTAAAAGATTTTAGGGTTACCTCTTCAGAGGGAGGAGTGTTAGAGTTGCAAAAAGCCCCATTAAAAAAAAGAAAACAAAAAGGAAAGAGTACATGAAGCATGAAGTTGTCAGGAAAAAGTGATGGGGAGATATGGGAGGAATTGGAGGGGAGGGAGTGGGCATGGATTTGACCAAAACATCTTATATGCATGTATGAAATTTTCAATAATTCAATAATAATTTTCAATAAGTTAAAAAAAATTGCTGCTCCTGGGCCAGGATGTACTGGGGATAGAAATCCTGCCTGCCATGTATAAGGCCTGGCTTAGATCCCTAATGCTGCCAAAATAATGCTAGTCCTGAGTCCTACCATCTGGGTTTTAGTAAATTGGTCTGAGGTACAGCCTGGGCATAGGGATTTGGGCTGTTTCTAGCATAAAGTGAAAAATGTGTCCTTATGTGTCAAGGACCTTGGTTTTAGCACTGAAAGCTCTGTGTCCCAGGAACCCCTTCAGTCACAGGCATACGTGGACAGATGGTCCTCCCCATTCTAATGTAAGCCCAGGTTGAACCCATTAGTCTAGGATCTCCCTTGGGCCCTTCTGTTTAGTCACACACAAATAGTCATTTGCCCAAATTAATTTCAAGCCATCTCCAGGCTGAAGACTGTAAGTCTAAGTATCTAAAGTCCTGACATTAAATATTTAATCTATGGCTCATGCTCAGAGCTGGCTACAGAAGCTGGACACTGCCCTTTTTGCAAAGCTCTATGTGGGGAACATGACCTCTTTCCATCCCTTACAAAGAAAACAGAAGATAGTTGAAACTAGCATGGATGGAAAAGGAAGTTGTTCCTGTCAGCATCATTCTGTGTGGCATCGTTACCTCTAGGGTTGTACATGGAGGACTTCCTGTGTGTGCCTTTGGCCTTGGCATCCCTCCTTGGCCCGACAGACCAAGGATGTGTGGCAGTAAAGAAGGGGATGGTCTAAACAGAGCCTGGGCCCAGAGCTTCCTGGAATAGGAGAAGATAGGCGGGAGGATTCTAATATGGTGCATTGTTTGCAGATTAGCACCTAAATCGGATCAGGCTAATTACAGTAATTAATTTAACTGCAGAAGTGCTTCTGTATGATGTCCCACTGTGATTTTTTTCTCATTGGACAGTCATTGAATTAATGGGACTCTAGCCATATTGGGTGTGCTGCCTCATGAGAGCCAGTTGCCCCCTGGGCCTAGAGATGGAAAGGGGCCAGATCAGGGGAAAGGGAGATGAGACAGTAAGCCTGCTCAGAGAGCTGCCACCCACACTGTGGTTTTGCTGCCCAGGGCCAGTGGACATCAACATCGCAGCCAAATGCAATGCCTGCCTCTCCAGCCCATGCAAAAACAATGGCACGTGCAGTCAGGATCTTGTGGAGCAGTACCGCTGTACCTGCCCTTACAGCTACAAGGTAAGACAGGAGGCCCTGCCCACCACTCATGCCCAGTCTCCTCCTTTGTCCTGGCTCCTGACACTGGTTACCCTGAATAACTCCACAATACATGTCACTCTCAAATGGTGCAAATGACATAATGGCTCTCCAGACTGGCTAAGACTGCCCATCAGAGAGGACCCCGAGACTCTCGACAAGGATGCTCTGAGATGAGGAGGAAATGCTACCTGTGTCTTTTCTTTGTGAGTCACAGAAGACTGCATCCCAGAGAGTCGCAGGGCTTCCAAGTAAAGACATCCCTTGAACCCAGCATCTGGACTGACAATCCAGGGAGATTTTCAGAACCTCCTCTCCCCAAGTCGTACCCTAAAAGTGCTGGTTCCAGATTGATGAGGCTACAGGGATAGGGGAACTGAGGAATTCAATGGCCTGTGCCTGCCAAACCCACACACATAGTTGACAAGCTCAAACAAAAGGATTGAGACCCCCAATTCATCCTACCCAGAAATCCAGGCTCCTTCCAAGGCAGTCTTTTCCTTTGTTCTTCTTACCCAGCCCCACCTGGGACAAGTTATGTTATCTCCCTACTACCATGTGTGGACTACATGCCACACCCTCTGCTTGGCATTTGACCCACCCCTTCTCCCAGCCTATGAACAAGATCTGATTAAACAGATGTGGAAACTGGGCTTGAGACTGTGCATGAGACTTAACTCATTATCCCAAAGCTCCTAATAAACAATGTTGGGATTAAGACTCAGTTCTAAAGCCAGTCTTTTTCCCCTGGAGGGATTCATAGATAGCTAAGCCCCTCACAGAGTATCTCACTGAGATCAGCAAAGCTCTCTGGATCCTAGTCTTCCAGGCATCCAATCTGAACACACTGGACAAGCTAAAAGTTCCTGATGCACCAGCTGCACAGATTGAGTGACAGGGGCATGCAGTGTCTGCATCCTGAGGGACTCTGCATGGACATGTGACAGGCTTGAGAGGCAGATGTCTAGGGACATAGCTACCTAGTGGCTGTCTCAGCTACAGCCTTGTTTCTAACAGACAGTGCCAGAGTGCCACCTATGGACCTGAAACAAGAGAGCCCAAGGATTCCTTCTGAAGCCAGCTTTCCCCAAGGCCTTAAACTTAGTAGAGTCCCAGATAGAGATTGAGAATGAATTTAGACTGCCTCATACAGGTTCGGTGGGGGAATCTCTTCTCTTGGAATTTCAGGAAGCATATAAGTACTCCAGTGTAGAGTGCTTTCCTAGCTGTCAGGCAATTGCCAGTGACTTCACCTCAGTCTTCCCAACTAGACACTGGGGCCAAGCAGCCCACCTAGGACAGGACCAGGCATACAGGAAGTACTTGGTAAGCTTGCCATGTTGCCACCTTTTCCCTTCATTCTTGCAAGCTGGTCCCTCGTACCAGAGGGTGAGATGGGCCACTAATAGCCCATGGTATGTTGCTGGTTTCATCTGGGATTATTAGGCCACAAAACTGGGAATTGTCAATACCTATCATTCAGGTAGCTGCCTGACCTGGGAAAACCATGAGATTCTGAGAAAGCATAGCCAGTGCTGTAGATCTACTGGAAGGCCAGGCCATTATGAAGCAGTTTAATTGTTTTACTTCACAGTGTTTTAATCATCCTGAGCTTTCTTACCTTCTTTTGTTAGATAAGTCAAGATTTATAAATATCAAAGAATTTACCCAAGTCCACTACCTACAAAACACATGAGCTAAAACCAGATCCCAGCCTAGTCTTCCCTAGTAAATGATTCTCCATATACCTACACACACGCGTGCACGCACGCATGCATGCCTATAAGAAGGACACTCATGGCAGAGTTGTTGTAAGGTTGAAAGTGGATCACAGTTACATATGCACTTCATCCACCATGGTGCTGGGTTCAGTAGATATTCCACACAATCTAGCAATGTTACCACTAATCTAAGATTTGGGGAAATAAAATATACCTAATTTTTCCCCCTCCATTTAGCTTCATGCACATATGTTCAATGTCACAAAGTGATGCTTCTCAAGGTTTAATGTGCCCAAGAATATTATTAAAACGCAGGTTCTGATTCATGAGACCTGGGGTCAGACCTGAGATGGTGCATATTAAACAAGTGCTTAGGGGCTACCCTAGTCTGTCCCTAGCTGCTCCTAGGGGCTGCTACTAGTCCAAGGACCACACTTTGAGTAGCAAGGTCTGAGAGAGGCTCTCTAGCCCCTCTCACAGATACCTGATGTGGGGAGCTGCTCCTGGTCTTTTTTAAAGAAAGACAGTAGCCCTAGTGCTGTCAGAGAAGAGGGGAGGGTCCAGAAAGGGGTCCTAGAGGAGAGGAGGAAGAAAGGAGAAACAAGGTGGTATGGGGAGTAGAAGAAAGAGAACCGAACGAACATCCCAGCTCTGGTAACATGAGCAAAAATGCAGCTGAAGAGAATTGAATTGTACTAATGAGCCAGACATTGTCAATGGTAATTATTTTTCAAGGACGTGTAAGTGGCAGAAATACCCACCTCTAGGCCCAATTACCATGTTTCCATGTACTAGGATCTGCCTCCTAGATTTCTGTGCTCAGCCTAGATGGCTGGAAGAGATACCCTACACCACCTCTACCATCAGAGGATTCTGCCTGGACTGGACAGTACTTACAAAAGTATCAGAATAGACGGGCTAGACCAGGTGGGGGCTGGAGTGATCCTGTCTTACCCTTTTCAGGGTTCTTTTGCCCTGCCTTCATAATCCATTTGTCTAGTACCACTGCCACCCATACAAGCATCTCTGAACTATTTAGCACCAAAGATCATATTCAACCCTGCCTCAGACCCTGGTCCTGGTCATCACTGCTGATATTTATAGTGCTGCCATCACCAACGACATGCCTGGCAGGTAATGTGATTTCCCATCCATAGTTCTCTCCCAATAGGGCAGGTAGAGATTGAGTATCCCTTACCTGAAATGGTTGGGACCAGAAGTGTCTCAGATTTCAGGTGTTTTAGAATTTTAGAATGCTTGTATACACATAATAAGTTACCTTGTAGCTGAGGAGATAGCTCAATTGGTAACAATTTGCCATGCAAGCTTGACCTGAATTCGAGCCCCAGCACCAGTAATAAGCCAGGCATGGTGGTGTCCACTTGCTATATCAGCACTGGGAAATTGAAGACAGGTATATCCTTGGAGCTCTCTAGCCAGCCAGCCTAGTGAAATCACCAAGACTCAGGAGCCAGTGAGAGGCCCTGTCTCAGAAAATAACAAGGTAAGACAATCAAGATGGTTCAGTGGGTAAAGGCACTTACTACACAAGCCTGGTGACCTGAATTTGATCTCTAGAACCCATGTAAAGGTGAAAGGAAAGAACCAACTCCACAGAATTGTCCTTTGACTCTACACATGTGCACCATGGTACGTACACACACACACACACACACAAAGATGTCTTGGAGATTAAACCCTGTCTAAAAATGAAATGGTCTTGTTTCATATAAACCTTATATATAGCCTATAATTTTAGCCATTTTTATTGCATCTGTATTTTGGGCAGGACCCATCACATGAAGTCAGCTGTGGAATTTTCCACTTGTGATATCATGTGAGCACCCAAATGGTTTCTGTTTAGGAGTATTCTGGATTTCTGGATTAGGGATACTCAACCCGTACTATTACTCCCATTTCATATAAGGTGGAAACAAGGCTCAGAGAGAGCTAGTCATTTCCCCCAGATATATATCTGCCTGCCGAGACTCTGCTCCAATCCACTGCACTCCAGAGCCCAAGTTTTGAGATGGGCAGAATAAGTGGTCCAGAGTAGATAGGTCTGGTGCTGAATTTGGACTCAGCTGTCTGGGTTCAGCTGCTGGCTGCCTGTTTCACTTACTGCTGTGTAGTCTCAGACCTATTACCTTCCCTTCCAAGTCTGCCTTCCCTATCTGTAAAAATGAGTGCAATAACAATTGTACCAATCTCATAGGGTTCTTGGGAACATTATATGTGATCATGAATATAAAACACTTAGCATGAGGCCTGGAATGGAAAATGTGCTCAATAACGTGAGTGAGAATTCGTATTACTCTTTCCATTCCCAACAATGACTTTCAGAAGGGGGCCCTGAGTTTCTCTGGCTTAGAATAAACCCAGATAGCTCCTCAAAACATTTTGCCTCTCCCTCTCTCCTCTGAGAAACCTCTGCATGGGGCATAACTCACATAAAGAACCAGACATACAGGGCCTATGCCCTCTGGCTACTGGAGAAGGGCCTGAGGCTCCAGTTTGTGAGAGAGTAGGAGAATGCATCTAGCCCCACAGTAGGGACTGTTCTGGATCAACGCCCCAGGCTCAGTTGGCAGTGACCACGCAGTCAGGAAGCCCCAGTCCCATGCCATCACAGGCACTGGCAGCAGCAAAAGTTAGGCCTTTTCTCAGGCAGATGGCAAGCAGGTGGTGGCGGCAGTGGGAGGGCTCCTGTGATCACCCCCGCCTGGCATGCACCCAAGCCACTGAACCTGTGACCCAGAAATAGATGCAGCAGACACCTCCCTGGGCTCAGTGTTACCAGGTCTTGAAAACACAGCTTGCCCAGCCTTGGGTACAGCCTGAATCCATGTCCTAAAGGAGAAGCAAAAGCCATAGAGCCAAGAAGAACTGGGCCATTCCCTGGGACATTGGGCCTAGTATCCATGGTCTCTGCTGTGGGGTCATCCCCCTCAGAGTCTTTGTCCTCACTGTCCCTTCTACATGGCATGATCCTTCCCGTCTGCCACACATTGGCTCCTTCCCAACTCATACCTACCCTGCAGCGGAACCAGGTTGAAAGGAACCCCCCTCCAAACTATTGCAGTTTTTAGCCTGCCTTAAACTTACCTGTCGACCTTTAGATTAAACACAGACACCTAAACTCTACTGCAGGCCAGTCAAGAAGGAAACTGGGTTGTCACTTGACAGGATGCAAAGTCTACAGGCCACACTTCAACCTTAGTCCCTGTATTTAGACCTCAGCAAAATGAATAGCAATACCATCTAATAGCTTTTCCAGGATGCCTACCGTGTAGCAAGTATGTTATATAATATACACTGCTTCCTTCTGTGAAAACTCTTGTATGATCCTCATAGCAATGCTGTCAGAGGGTGAGAGGCTTGTGAACCAGCCACCAGCCAGGTAGAGGTGGAGCTGGAATATGAAAACAGACTCACCTGGGTCTCCAGCCAACACTTGTGCCCTGCAGTTTAGGACAGAAAAGCCTGTGAACTCTGGAAAGTGATGATGCTAGAGCCTGAACTCTGCCCTCTAAACAGTCTTCCTTTTTTCATATGGAGTGACCACAGGCAATGACTCCCTTTGTCCTGGGCCTCCTCACTTCCATCTCAGCTTCATCCCAGAGGATTCTGGGAACTCCCTGGGGTCATGGAAGTCATCAAAGGCCCCCCTCACTAGGCGCTTCTCCCTCACCTGTTCTACAGGGAAAGGACTGCACTGTGCCCATCAACACCTGCATCCAGAACCCCTGTCAGCACGGAGGTACCTGCCATCTGAGCGAGAGCCACAAAGATGGGTTCAGGTAACAGCAGAGCCCTCACCTTCCCTCTCCTCAGAGAGCTTCCTAGACAGGCTCCTGTATGGGAATGATGTCAGTGAGGAAGTACTATTATCCCTACCATACAGATGAGGAAACAGGCCTCAAAGCTTAAACCCTTCCCCCCAGAGTAACAGAGTGAATAAGTTGGTACAGGGATTTGAATCCAGGTGCCAGCCTTCATTCTCTGAGCTACGAGGTCTCAGAGGGAGGCTGCAGATGCTGGCTAAAGTCAGAAAAGAATGGGATGCTGACTAAGAAATCCATGGTCCTGTTGATCCAACCTTTCCTTTCTGTGTCACAAATAACAGGTGATATTGGTGATATGTTCTTGGTGCCAGGTGGGAGCTAGTACAACATATACTCACTTAAATCTTCTCATAATCCTACAGAGGATGCAGGTTTTGTCCCCCACTGAACAGATGAGAAAACTGAGGCAACAATTGATTTGGCCAGGTCACACATCCTGGCTCTCGTTTATGGATCTTCTAATCATGCCTCTAGTTCTTTCTCCCTAGCATCAAGGTCACCAGCAGGCAAAGTGATAGAAGCCATTTCAGTTCTTCCCAGCCTACTCCCAGGAGTAGGGTTAGCTCCCTGCCCCATCTGCCTCCAACCAGCTTTCAGATGAGCAATTCCCCCACTGTGGCCCTAGCAGAATCAGACCACTGAAAAGGGGCTCCCACAGCATGGTGGGTTGGGCAGCAGCCCCTTCACAATAAAGACAAGATCCTGGTGCCCTCTGGGAGATGTCAGAGCTCAGGTTGCGCACAATTAATTATAAAAAACCTTCCAACCAGAGGCTGCTGTGTGGTCTAGAGATGAGATCTCCTGAGAACTTAGCTGGCCCACACATCCTCCTGCCAAGTCAGCCTGATCCAATCCTGAAAAGTGAAACTCAAGTGTGCTGTGCCTGTTCCTGCCTAGAGTCAGCCAAACCACTTACTTCCCTGCGCACTGAGAACAGGAGTGAGAGAAACCCGGGAGAATCTTAAGAGGTGGCAATGGTGGCCCCCTCCAGGGCTGAAAGTGGGCTCTGCCTCACTCAGACCAGGACGGGCCAGAGCTTCCCTGAGAGTGACTGTGTATTTCCCAGGGTCCCATTCCCACCTCAGTCTTTTCATGTGAACTGGAAACTTAGTATGAAAGGCAAAGTGCCCAGATCTCCAGGACTAAGGAAATGAGGTGGAAGTGCCCAAGGTCAGACATTTGGGAAGTGACAAACCAGAATTTATTCCCAGTATGCCAGGCTGTAGATCTGTGACCTGATGCCTTGTTCACCCCTCAACATAGAAGGTCTGCCTTAGAAGGAAACATCATGGGTTGGGGGGCTACTTTACTGCTCCTCTTTGTCTACTCTACAGAGGAGCCAAAGGACGGGGGATTCTGTTAATACAGCTTCAGGGATGTAAACAGTTTCTAGGAAACACTTCCAGCTGGGAAGAGGTAAAGAGGCCTTGCTGGTGGGAATTTCCTCCAGGGATAAGGCAGCAGCCAGAGTAAGGGAGCCAGAGCATTGCCTGGAAACAAGTGATTACACAAAATGATCTTGGGGGTTCCTAAGAGTCTTCCTGCACAGGCCCCCAAGGCCTCGATGTACACAGTGCATCCCTGTGTACCTCCAGCCACAGGAAAGATCTTACGAATTGCGTTTTCTACCCCCTACCTTCCTATCTACCTCTACAACCTGCCCTGCCTCCTGACTCCCATCCTCTCCATACATGCACATACATCCCAAAGCTGCTCCTGCCCCCTGGGCTTTGAAGGACAGCGGTGTGAGATCAACCCAGATGATTGCGAAGACAATGACTGTGAAAACAATGCCACCTGTGTGGACGGGGTTAACAACTACGCGTGTGTGTGTCCACCTAACTACGCAGGTAAGGGTCTGGAGAGGTATGGTCACGCCCTTGTGTTTGTGGGATGGGGGGGTGTCACTAGGAGAATGCTGTTTGTTGTATCCTTGAAGAAGGAAGGTTCCCCACCTCCTTTCTTTCTGTGGTGAGAGGCTGAGATCCCAAGACCATGAGATTCTATGAGGGGCTTCCCCAATACCCTCTCTGTTGTCTTATCCCTCTCCTGCATCTGCCCCCACCCCCAACCCCAGAAATCCCTGGTTCCTCCTCACTTTGAAACATGCTCACAAGGCTCTTCCATCTGACTGTGCACCACTGGTGACCACCCCTTCTTTTAGGAACCCAGTATGTTTGAGGTTGGCAGAGAAGTACTTGGGTTATTTGTGCTTTGTTCATGTCTAGTCAACCGCCTCTGGAAACCTGTCTTCCATACACTCTTATGGGAGCTGGGAATGCAAAACTGAGCAAGACACAGTTTCCTCTCATAAGAAGCTCAAGGCCAAGCAGGGAAACACATGGTTCAGTAGGATGAGAAGTCCAGGGGTTTATGGGGCCACAGAAGAGAAATTATCCCAGCTGGAGATACAGAAGGCTCCATGATAGGGATTCCTCAGGAATATCTTCCTACTGACCTATGGCCAAAGCTCAACATCTTCATTTCCTACACCCACATCCCCGCATGAGGATATTTAAATGTATCATTAGCCTGTGAAACAAAATACCGCCAATTGATACAAGCAGCCTGCTTTATTATGAACTCAGCCTAAAGTGGCATATCCCAGACTATATGTCCATGAATTCTTTGAAGAAAGAGTCCAAAGAATTTAACTCCATCGTTTTTTTAAAAAGCAAATCATAAAAGCTTGGGAAGCACTGTGTGTAATAATAGCTGTCTTCTTAGAGCTGTGATTCAAATGAATTTATTAGAGGTTATGAAAATTCCTGCTTTAAAGAAAGATGTTTGAGTTTGTTTAACCCAGTAGTTCCCAAACTCATGTAACCTCGGAGCCTCCTCCTTATCCCACCCTCGAACACCATCACAGACTTGGAGATACAGCATATTTTAGAAATCCAAGCCTAAGACAAGAAGAAAATGGGGATGGCGCTCCTCAGGGGTTCCCACACCCTAGCCTGCTGGAGACCAGCTTTTATGTGAAGAATGGAGCGGGAGGTGGGCAGTACAGGTGGTGACGAGAAGCAGCCCTCAGGCCTGCTGAGGAGGAAGTGGGGTAGCTCTTTTGCCCCTCAGATCCTTTGCTATCAAGCCCCTAGCTCAAAAGCCAGGGAGTCTAAGAACACCTTTGGGACTTCTAGAATGTGCTAAAGCCAGTGAGGAGCACCGTCTACTCTATTTGTCCTGGACTTCCTGGATCCAGACAAGCCCTCATGCCAGGAGGATATGCAGGGAAACTTTTTTGTGGCCTGCCTCCCCATCTTCCCAGAGTAGGTATGTAACTAAGGATTGCACTGAGAACAGGCAACAGTTATTGGGCATCTACTGTATGCAGAGTACTAGATGGACTTAGACATCCAGTACTAGATGGACTTAGACATCCAGTCGATGGTGTGCCCTCAGGGCTTCTGGATACTTAAGATAAGCAGAAACACCCTGCAGCATTCAAAATCTTTGCACCAAAAGAATCTTTTCAGTGCCAGAAGCATCACAATCCCAGCAGCTAAGAAGGAAAAGAGGTTCAAAATGGGCTCTGTGGCAGAGGAGGATTTGAAGTGAATTCCTAGCAGATAGGCATGGAAGCAGGGAGTTGAGAAACATGTCCTCTGGCCCCGTGGAACTCTTCCTGGCACTTGCAGATGACTTGCAAATGTGTTGCAGTTTGCCCCTGAGAGGGGCGCTATATGAAGTCTCTGCCTCAGTGAACATTCAAGTCCTAGACAGATACTTGTCTGCTCCTCTGAGTCTCTGCAGGGGATGAGGAAGAGGCAGAAACATCTCAGGAGCACAGTAGCCTCTGTGATCTTGAGGCTGAAGGCAAATGTGGAGTGGCATGATTCAGGTTCATAATAGGATGAAGAGGGGGTTAGCCTGTCCTCACCACAGCAGAGATTAAACTCTGAGGCAGTCACTGACCAGCTATCTCCTTCCATCCTGAACCCCTTATTCTCCTGTTTAGCCCTCACCCCAAGCCCCCAACCCTCCGGAGACTGTCCATGGTTGGAAGTTTTCTTCTCTTAGATCACCCTCAACCTAGTTTTTAAAATAAAATTCAAGCTTTAAACTCCCTCATTGCTCAGGGATGCCATCCTCCCTCCCCACCCTCCCTCTATATCCCTAAACACATTTTCAGGTAGTGCAAGCTTATTGGGCTTATCCACAAGGACCATCCCTGGCTATTTATGACCCATTGGGCATTTTGCAGTGCTGTGAACTTCAAAGGCAGCATATCCAGACACCAGAACTGCAGATTCCCTTCGTATTTCCTTTCCCAGAACATCCAAGGAGGTTCTTATCTGTAGCAGGTACACCATGCCTGGTCTGTTCTTCCAGGAATTACCTGCCTACTTGCAGGTTACTTTCACTAAGAAGGGAAAAGTCAAGACTGGGTCACTGTTTTGTCACCAGTACCTGGCACAGTGCTTCCTACGTAGGAGATGTAGGAAAAAAAGCAAAAACATATGAGTAAGCCTAGCCCAAGATCAAGGTCTAGCCTGTCGTTTCAGTAGCAACAGCCCCAGAAAGGTCAAGAAAAACAGCCAAATGGTGGCGTTGACCATCCAAAAGAGACCTTAGGACCTTCACACTGTCACTCTAGGGAAACGGAGATGGGTACGAAAGAAAGGATACACCAAGAGAAGAACGCAGGGCTCCCAGTGTCCATGACCTGTGTGACCTATGGTGGGATAAATCTGACCTTGTAGCCTAGGTATCCCCCAATAGCCAGCTCTGATGCCTGAGTTCTCTCCCCCGTGTCCTTTAGGGGAGCTATGTGAAGAGGTGATTGACCACTGTGTGCCGGAGATGAATCTTTGTCAGCATGAGGCCAAGTGCATCTCCCTAGACAAAGGATTCAGGTAAGGCCTGGCCTCATGTTCTAATGAGGTGCCCTGAGGACTCTGCCTCCAGCAGCCTGAGTTTGAGGCTATGAGTTGGGTAGTGTCTTTCTCCCTCTCTCCTGATACCATGGGCTTCTTTCTCTCTGACTCAGGCCTGGTCAGATTTTTCACAGTCTGCCTCTCTTATGGTTTCTTTCTTTCCCTGTTTTTGCTGATAGAAAGATAAAAAATAAAGAGATGGATATATTCCATCTCTTCCCCTCCCTTTCCCCCTCCCTCTCTTCCCTCATATCCTCTTTCTTAGTATTGCTCTCCTTTCTAGAGCTAAAAAAGTAAGGCCATCCACAGAAGAAACCATCTGGTCATCTTCCTGGTGTTCCACCTTCACAGTGCCCTGCTTTTCTGTGACCACAGCAAGTTTGCTGGATTGTGAACCTGTGGGAGAGAGGTGGGGCCAGGAGCTCTGACTGGGTTCTGCACCACAGACCTTGATGGAACTGTTTTCATCTCCAGCAGTAGAGTCAGTCAATACTAGGAAACTACATGAGCAATTTTGAGAGAGGGAAAGGCAGCCTTAGGAGAGGACCACACAGTTGTTCTTTGGATTTTTATTTATTTATTCAAATGTCTGTGTGTGTGTATGCTCCACATGTTTATGGGCACCCATGGAGGCCAGAAGAGGCTATGAGCTGGAGTTACAGGCGATTGTGAGCTGCCCAACATGGGTGCTGGGAACTGAACTCAGGTCCTCTGGAAAAGCAGCAAATACTCTTAACCACTGAGCCCTCTCTCCAGCCCCTAACCAGTTCTTCAGCCTGAGAACCAATGCACCCAAAGAAACCTTCCTGAACTCTTCACTTTTCCTTCCACACTCTATCCCTCAGGACCTGGGATTTCCTGACATGGATAGAAAAGCTCTTCCTGTCCCAAAGCCACCTTCCATCTGCAGCTGCTCACTTTCCGCCCCAGACAGCTCTGTCCAACACCAGAGGGAAGCCTTTAGAGTCAAGGAGTCAAGATGTAGAGGAACAGGAAGAGACCAGAACATCTCAAGTCCCAGGATGGGCCCATAGCAGACACTGGAAGGTCCCCAACCAAACCTTGCCTAGGGATGAGTGCTCTGAGACTGGAGATGACCAACCTTTTGTCCAGTGACAACTCAGCCTCTGGGGACAAAAGTTCATGCTGTCCAGTTCTCAGTCCTATGGCAGTGAGTTCTCAGAACCCAGGTATTTGAGACTGTGGTCCTATACTGCAAAGCTCAGGACTTCACAGAGACTAAAGGCCTCAGAAAGCCCAAGGCTGATGACACCATAGAATGGAATCTTATGGATTCAGAACTGTGGTAGAATGTCTATACCTTTTACTTGAAAACTCCTAGTGTATAAAAATCGGGCTGGAGAGATAGTTCAGCAGTTAAGAGCACTGACTGCTCTTGCAGAAGACCTGGGTTCAATTCCCAGGACCCACATGGTGGCTACAAACTGTCTTTAACTCCAGTTCCAATAGAATCCGAAGCCCTCTTCTGACCTCCACAGCACTGCACAACACGGTGCACTCACATACATACAAGCAATACACTCATACACATAAAATAATAAAATATTTTAAATAAATAAAAATCACGGGTTCTAGTTGTTGCCAGCCAAGCCCACCCATCAGTCCCTCAGTCTTCACTGTGTGGTCTACAGTGGGCACTATGACGTGTTTATGATTCCTCTCAAGGCCTTCACTGTGTACCTAAAGGAGGAAATTGTGACCCACAGCAAGCACTTAGAAAAGAAGTAATTTCTGCCCATGGTTCCAGCTCTGAGTGTCATACGCATGCACACACACACACACACACACACACACACACACACCTCTTCAGAGATGGCACGTGAAGTGAGCCTCAGAGGACTGGTGTGGTCTGGATGGACTGAGAACAAAAAGGGAAAAGAACCCAGGTAGTGAGGAAGTGTGAGGGGCCATGAGCTTGCCTGTCAGTGTGTCCCATTTTCTTTGTTTTCTTTGGCGTGAAGGATGTGTATGAGGTGCAGGGTATGCTCACCACGGGCGTATATGGAGGCCTCAGGTCAATGTTGAATATTTTTTCCGTCACCTCTTTACCTTCCTTCTTGAGACAGGCTCTCTTACTGAACCCAAAGCTCACAATCTCATGGCTCACTTTTATGTGGATTCTGGGGATCCAAATTCACGTCCTCATGTTTGAACAACAGCACTTTACCCACTGAGATGTCTCCCCAGCCCTGTGTTGTCCTTTTCTGTTGTGACATCCTAAGCCTATTACTCATTTCCAGGGAAACTAAAAGAGGTGTAAGGAGGCCTTTGGCTTTGCCAAGATCAAAGGAAGTGCCATCTCCTCTCTGTCCTCCTGTGTTCAGTTCTACCTGTCTGCCCAGGCCCCTCTGAGACATACCAGGAAGGACTTTTAGGAGGTGAAACCACCTGAGGGTAAGGGGCACCTTCCAAACTCTCACCCACCACCCCAGGATTCAACATCAGTTGAGTAGTAGGTTATTCACTGCAAGGTAAGAAAGCCACCAGAAACGCAAAGGGGAGAGAAGATAGATTTAAAATGCTGCCTTTGACTTAAAGCAGAGAAGACCAGATTGGCAGGCAAAGGGTTTTGGGTGTGTGAAAAAGGAATGATGGGTGTGACTAGGCCTCAGAATGAGGAGATAAATAGTATTCAAGGTCAAGTGGACAGGCAGCAAGCTCAGCGAACACTGGCTTGAAAGAATGCAGCAAGCCATGGAGACTGGTCAGAGGTGGGTGAGTGTGTACACAGGGAGGTAGCGTTACCAGATTTCCATGACCCTCTGATGTTTATTCCTGAAAACTTTACCCTTTACTGTAACCAAGAGCCCTTGAGGCTAGGACAATGTAAGAAAGTTAACGATCAAGCTTTCCTTGAGTTCATTTTATTTATATGTACTATCAAGTCTCCTGGGAGGTATTAGCTCAAGAAAGTCAGTAAGTCGATAACGGTAGTTTTTTATTCAGATGCGTTTAAACCAATAACCTGTTCTCCCAATGAAACATTTTATCATTGTGCCCCCCCCTCCCCTACCATCATTAAACACCTGATAATCCACAGCAGCCTTTAAGGACATTGATGAGAGAGGGTGATGCCATCAGGATGACCTTTGTCTAAATGTGAAGATGCTTATCCTTGGAGACCCTCTAAGATCTCAATGACAGGCCTATCAGCCCAGAAACACTGAAAACAATAACAAAGATCACACTGACTTATGTACACTGAGAAATCCACACAGTATCTGATCCCATGAACACTCAACCTTCTGATGTAGAAACGGTTGCCCACACTATATACAGCCCAGTGAGGTGGGGTCAGCCGCCTGGGTGCTCAGCAAGAGGGAGGGATGGCAAGTCCAGGCCTGGATGGTTTCTCACCTGAATCCAGATTCTCCAGATATCCTTGGCCCGCAGTCAGTAGGTCCAACACAAACTTTACACTTGAACTATGAAAAAGATAAAGCAAACCATTGGAAAACAGAAGGAATTCCAGCTGCTCTGTCATCTAAGAAGAAAGGGATATCCTCAAACCAGCATCTCATGACAGCTTGTTGGGAGTCAGGCCCAGACTCCCAGAGTCAGAAGCTGCATTTTAGCAGTAAGATCCCTGGGTGTTGACCCATAAAAGAAGGCCGCAGATACTTTTCCCTCCAGGTCACCACTGTTTTGTTTGGAAGTGAGACTAGCTTCCCTGTTCATCTGTAGCCTTGAACTCCATCCTTTAAAATGTTGATTTTTATCCTCTTCAATGGTGGGCAGCTCTTTTAACCTTGGAGAAGGTCAGTGAGCTCCAGCTACTCTCTAGGACTCTCTTGGATTCAGGAGACACAAACTCAAAAGCCTACCAAAGCCAGTGTTTGATTTTTTTTTAAGTTAGTATAAAAAAGTAATGGGCTTCATTTCAACACTTTCATGGATATACATCACTGCATCTTGCTCATACTGGCCTTCCCACCCACTTCACCCCTCCTCCGTGGCTGGTTTCACCAGTGGCAGAGGTGTGGACTGCCAGTATATTGAGCATATTCCATGCCTCAAAGGCATTAGTTTCTTTAAAAGACTCTGGCCTAATGGGGTGTAGTTGCAGACACTATATATGTATATAGTTTATTTGCCTGCATGTATTCATGTGCACCTGATACCTGTGGAGACCAGAAGAGGGCATTGAGTGCCCCTGGAACTAAAGTTATAGATGATTGTGAGCCTCAATGTGGGAGCTGGGAACTGAACCTGGATCTTCTTCAAGAGCAGTAAGGTGCTCTTTACTGCTCTTATACTGTTACTAATCTCTCTAGCCCTAAAGATTTTTATTTTTTAATATTTAGCTATTTTTATTTTATGCATATGAGTGTATCACCTGTAAGTAAGTAAATGCACCCATGTCATACAATGCCTCCAGAGGTCAGAAGAGGGCATTGAATCCCCTGGAACTGGAGTTAGAGACAGTTGTTAGCTGTCATGTGGGTGCTGGGAATGGAACTCAGGTCCTCTGCAAGAGCAGCCAGTGCTCTTAACTGCTGACCATCTCTCCAGCCCAAGATTTTTATTTTTTTTATGTGTATGTATGTGTTTGTGTGTATCTGCATACATGTGCCGGGGCCCACAGAGGCCAAAAGAAGGTGTCAGATCTCCCTGGAGCAGGAGCTACCTGCTATGGGTGCTGGGGACTGAACTTGGGTCCTCTGCAAGAGCAGCAAGTGCTCTTAACTTCTGTGCCATCGCTGCAGCCCCCATGGAAGGCACCTTTAACCCCAAGACTCAGAGGCCCAGGCAGAAGAATCAAGAATCTGAGGCCAGCCTAGACTGTGTAACACATTTGAGGCTAGCCTGGTTTCATAGTAAGGCCCTCTCTCAAAGCCAAACCAAACAAAACGAAAACCAAAAACACTTTGGCTGAACATGATCTATATAATATGTTAATGTGTAACTTTGCAACTTCCAGTGAAGCAATAGGTTATATGGTTCAGATTTTCCAGCCAAGTACATATAGGTAGATTGGTCAGATGCTAGTAGAGATTACCATGTTTGAATACACACAGGCCCAGTCAGTCTTCAGATTCTGGACCCTGTTTCTACCATGCCCCTTCACTGTCTGACCTAGCCCTCTGCTCATCTAGCTCTGGTGCAATGCCAGGATTCCACCCCATTCTGTCCTAAGGGGAAGGAGTGAGGTGAGGGAGGAAGGAGGACTACCTCTTCACCTTGGTTCTTTCCCAGTCAGACTCCTTAGGATGCAGGCTAAGAATTCAGAGCTCTTACCCACCCTGACCATTGCAGGATAGGTATCATTATGAATTGTTCTGGGACCAGAGAAGCTCATGGGCTTTGTAGGAGGGAGACAACAGTGAACACTGTGCTGACATGTGTGTATATGGGTGCCTCAGCCCCTGTGACCCAGCCCCCTGTGCCCTCAGGGCTGTTTCTATCCTGGGATTTCAGTTTTGTGTTAACCTCAGACAGAGGGGCCATGGACACATGTTTCTGGCTATGCACGGGAGGCTCAGTTTTGGTGCTAGCAGAAAGTGGTAGAGCTATGGATCCATTGCTCTCTAGGGAAGGGCTGGATCAGCTAGACTGGGGTCTGGATAGGAGCAACTGCTCCCATCCTATCCTCTGAGACATAAAAGATTTTATCTTCTTTAACTTCGTTTGAAACTCTGAGGAAAAACATACACAAACAATAAAACAAAGTCAAGGGCTGTGTGAACATCATCAGTGTCGCCATCTATATATCGTATTGACTGGCTTTATACAATGTTTAGACTCCAGAGAATATCATTTAATTTTAAAAGCAAGCATGAGAGGCAGGGTTTATTGATGGCTAGGTGCTTTGAAAGAAACTGAAATCCAGAGAGGTCATGAGTGCCTGGGACAATTAGAACAGAATCTGATGCATAGTCAGTATAACTGCCACTTGATGGGGAGATGGGGAGTCTGGGGAAGTGACTTCATTGTCCTCTGACTGCTGCTTCTGATAGGTCCTCCCATGCAGGGCCTGGAAGCTCTAATGAGATGCTCCATGAAAGTGCTCAGCCAGCTGTCTGCCATAAAGGGCATGCTTGAATGTCAACTCGAAGTAGAAGGTGGCAGATCTGAGTCAAAAGCTGTGTGATTCACCCTGTGCTCCACAGCCTGATTCCTGAAAACAAAACTCATCCCCTGTATGCAGCAGACAGACCTTGATTCTTGGAGCAAAGCCTATGGACCACTAATGGAGGCAGGCCTAAGGGACCCTTAAGGAACTGAAGTAGATAGAGGAAGAAAGAGGTCATTTGGCAAAGGGACGCCTGATGGCAAATGCCAGGAACCTGGCAGGCCCCAAGCAAGCTTCACCCTGTCTGTGTTCCAGGTGTGAATGTGTCCCTGGCTATAGTGGAAAGCTCTGCGAGACAGACAGTGACGACTGTGTGGCTCACAAGTGCCGCCACGGAGCGCAGTGTGTGGATGCGGTCAATGGCTACACGTGCATCTGCCCCCAGGGCTTCAGGTATGGCAAGAAGCACTCAAGAGGGAGGTAGTCTGGAATAGATAGCAAGAGGTAGGGATCTAGACCTCCCTCCAGCCACCCAGGCAACTCCATGTAGAAGCCGGGCTTGAGTCCCAGCTCTCATGATTACACCTAATGGAAGATGCCACCATCTTGGATCCCAGCTTGTGGGTAGAGTAGCTGTGTGGCCATGTAGGCTGGAAAGCAAAATTGCCATGCATGATGGTATCCTAATGGCTGAAAAAGAGATGATAGCTGAGGGCGTAGCTCAGTGGTAGAGTGGGTGCTTAGTATGCGCTTGACCCGGGGTTCAATCCCTAAAACAAAATACTAAAGGAAAAACAAAACTGGTGGTGACTCAATGAGAGGATTTGGGTCAGTCTCTTGAATTGATGAAAGTAGAAGAAAGGTCAGAGGAGAGGCACTGGCCAGGTGGTCAGGGGTCTGTGTGGGAAGGAGAAGGAGAAGGAGAAGCCTGGGCTCCAAGTCTAGCTCTACCTTGACTGGAAGGGTTAAGCAAGGGATGGGATGCTGGGGGAAGCTGGGACCATAGTTAAAAGGGGTTCAGACTGGGGGTAGCTTTATGTAATCAGCACTCACTAGATGGTATAAATGCAAGATATGCAGATAAGCTTTGACATAGACCCCAAGATGGTAGTCCAGGAAGGAGCTGTGAGTCTCCCCAGGCACATGTGTAGCAGCACATGCCTTTAATCCCAGCTCTCGGGAGTCAAAGACAAGAAAATCTCTGTGAGACAGAGGTTAGCCTGGTCTTCCAGGCCAGCTGGGGCTATAGGAAGATCCTGTCTCAAAAAACAAAACAAAACAAAATGTTTCTTGGGCCTGGAAAAATGGCTCAGTGGTTAAGAGCACTAGCTGCTCTTGCAGAAGACCTGGGTTCAGTTCCCAGCATTCACATGGTAGCTAACAACTGTCTGTAACCCCAGTTCCAGGGGATCTGATGCCCTCCAGCTACACCTAACATACATGCAGGCAAAACACACACATAAAATAAAAATAAATCAGAAAAAAATTTTAAAAGAAGCCAGGCGTGGTGGTGCATGCCTTTAATCCCAGCACTCTGGAGGCAGAGGCAGGTGGATCTCTATGAGATCAAGGCCAGCCTGGTCTACATAGCAAGTTCCAGGTCAACTGGGGCTACAGGGAGACCCTGTCTCAAAAAGACAAAAAAAAAAGGGGGGGGGGAAGACTATCCATATTGGCTGAGTGGTTAAGAGTGCTTGCTACTCCTTCAGAGTTCTATTCCCAATGCCCATATCAGGTAGCTCACAACAACCTAGAACTACAGTTCCAGGGGCCCTAATACCTCTAGCATCCATGGATGCAGGCATTCACATGCGCATGCGCGCGCGCACACACACACACACACACATACACACACACACACACACACACACGCATACACAATTTTTTTTTAAAAAGTACTTTCAAAGGATATCCACGTTGTACCATCTCCAGAGTTCATACTGTGTAAAACTAAAACTCCAATAGCTTTAAACAATTCTGTGTTACTTCCTTGTAGTCCTGGTAACCTTTTTCTGACTCTAAGAATCTGACCACTCCAGGTACCTCATTTGAATGGAATCAGTACTGGCCTTTCTGGATGGCTCGTTTCACTTAGCACAGTGTTCTCAGGGGTCCAGCCATGTTGTTGCAGCTATCAGAACTTCCCTCCTCTGTAACGCACAATAGTTTTCCACTGGCTGGCTATGCCATGCGCCATTTATTCATCCAGTCTGTGCTCTCCACAAACTCACCTCAATCAGTTCTGATAATACTGAAATTTGGGGACCTGCATTCTAATCTGACTCAGTTATGGTTTTTTTTACATTTATGTACTTACTGTATGTTTGCACATGTACATGCCATGGCACATATATGGAGGTCAGAAGAAAACTTGCAGGAATCAGTGTTCTTCTACTGTGGGTCCCAGGAATTAAACTTGGGTCATCAGGTTTGGTGGCAGGCACCTTTACCCTCTGAGCCATCTTGCCAGTCCTGACTCAGTTTGGGGGTTTTGGGGGGTGGGAGGGTTGTTTGTTGATTATTTGGTTTAGTTTTTGGTTTTTTGTTCTTGGGGGTGTTGTTTTGTTTTAATGAAGAGACTGGGACTTAAAGGAAAAGACTCGCCCCAGTTAGAAATAAGGCTGGGAATTGCCATTGCAACCCTCCTCTCTGCTACAGATTCTTTATAAATAACTGTCATTGTCTTCTCTCCCCGCTCTACCTCCTCTTCTCTCTCCCCCTTGCTCCCACTTCCTCCTCCTAGTGGGCTCCTCTGTGAGCACCCCCCACCCATGGTTCTGCTGCAGACAAGCCCTTGTGACCAGTATGAGTGCCAGAATGGGGCACAGTGCATCGTGGTGCAGCAGGAGCCTACCTGCCGCTGTCCCCCAGGCTTCGCTGGGCCCAGATGTGAGAAGCTCATCACTGTCAACTTCGTGGGCAAGGACTCCTATGTGGAACTGGCCTCGGCCAAGGTCCGACCCCAGGCCAACATCTCCCTGCAGGTATGTTCTTCCTCTCCCTCCTAACATCTTTGGAAGGACCCCAGTATTCTCCCATAACTGTTCAGAGTATGGCTGAGGTGCTCTAGATCATTAGCAATCCTGCCCCTTCTCCCAAAGCACCAAGGCCAGCTCTCAGCTTTGCATCAGCTGGACGAGCTCAGTCCAGAGGCATCTATAAGAAACCCCACTCTAAACAGCAGCTCATTGTTATATCATTCATTCATTCCTTTAAAAAACTCTCCTTTGACTATCTTATGTTGGGCATAGGGATGCAACAGATGTAAGACAAAGCACCCGTCCACCCAGGATGACAAGGAAAGGGACACTGGAAGTGCCGGGTGCTGAGGGAGCATGTAGGAAGACACATTCCTGTCCTATAGGGAAGAATCAGAGAAGGTTCCCAGAGACAGAGAGAACTAAGTGGGGGTCTGAATCCTGAGGAGTCTGCCTGATACAGAGGAGAAGGGTATGGGACCGAGGTGATAGAGGCTGGGGAGGATTTAGCTAAAAGATTCACACATGCAAACACACAGAGGCACAGGCAAGCAGGACTTACTCAGGGAATGGAAAACCATTTAATACGAACCAAGTTACTTTCTCAATGGTTTAGCCCCAGGGATGCAACTGGACAGCACAGGCCAATTAGCCCTGCCACTTAGGGCAGGGTACAACTGAGAATTCACTGAAGCTCTGTCACATTAGCCAAGGTTTGATCTGAAACTTCTGGGTGAAATAGTCATTCAGTGAAGCTCTATTGAGCACCTATGGACAGCAAGCTCTGTTCCAGACTCTGGGGCTGAAGAATGTACAAAAAGGTCAGATTGCTTCACCCTGCAGAGCATGGCCAGAGGACAGGACCCTGCAGTGGGGGCTAGCACAAACTGGAAGCTCTAATTTGTTCTCACCGCTCACACCTTCCTTCCCCCTTCCCCACCTGACTATTGGGTCCCAACAAGCCAGAGCAGCCCCCAGCAGCTCCCAGTACCCATATGTGCTATCAAACTTACCTGCTGCACATCCAGTTCTGTAGAGACTCACCCAGCAGCCAAATGACCAGTAGGGGAGCAGTTTCTGAGCGGTGGCGCTCAGTTTTAGCAGCACCTTAAAAGCCTCTGCAGAGCTTTTGAAGGTATCTGCCAGGGTCCCACCTGCAGAGACTTATGCAGACAGGCTCTCGGATGAAACCTAGACAATGGTATTGTTGAAACCTCCTCAGAAGTCTTTGAGCACAGAGCTTGCTTCACAGTGTACACTGAGTTAAATGGTAGTCATTAGCCTTTGTTTACAACTGTTCATGTATGCTTCATGCAGAGACAGTGAGGCCGTAAAAGAGGCAAGTGCTTCATTGGATCAGGCTGTGTACCTGTGAGAGAGGCAGATTAGAGCTGGGGCCTCTTGACATACACAGGTACAGACAGACCTCTGTATCCTCAGGTTCCACATGTACGGATTCAGGAGATCAAAAACATTTGAAAAAAAATTGCCACTCTACTGTACATGTATGGACACATAAGAATGTTTATTATCTAACACAAAACTGGAAACTTACTTAAAACATGAGGGCTTTTTTAATTTTGTTTTTATAACTTGATTATGCTGTTCTCCAGCATGAATTTACAGATGACTGTGTGTTTCTGTCTCAAAAGGTTATACTCACTGGCAACAGTACACTTGCATTACAGCTATTTTTACAGTATTTAGCTTGTATTAGGTATTGTCAGTCATCTAAAGATGATGAAAAGCACATGGAAGGATTGTGGGGATTATATGCAAATACCATTTTTACATAAGGGATTTAGATGTCCGCAGATTTGAGTGTCCTTGTGGGGTCACAAGCGCTGATGAAGCAATTTGCTCAGTTAGCGTTTGTCGAAGTGTAAATTTAGCTCTTGCCTTCTGGGAATACAGACTAGATAGAGGAAGAGATAGATTTCAACTCTGATCTGGGCTAACCTCTGAGGCAGTCACCTGAAGAGGGTGCTGGGAGTGGGTAAGGAGAGGGCGGACCTTGAGTAAGCTCTAACCCACACTCTTCGGCTTCTGCCCCAGGTGGCCACTGACAAGGACAATGGCATCCTTCTCTACAAGGGAGACAATGACCCCCTGGCACTGGAACTGTACCAGGGCCACGTGAGGCTGGTGTATGACAGCCTCAGCTCCCCTCCAACCACCGTGTACAGGTAAGGGCCTCTCCTCCCAGCCACAGTGTGAGGCTCTGCAGAGAGGATGCCAGTGACTCTGAGGCCTCCTGTCCCTAACACACACACACACACACACACACACACACACACACACACACACACACACACTCTTCTCCCCACAGAATGGCAGGTGGGAGGGAGAAAGCTTTTGTTGGAGGCAGAAACAAGAAAGGAAGGCAGGCCCAAGTGGGGAGATGACGCTTCATTACCATAAGATAAATGGCCAGCTGGCTACTGTGCACGGAGCCAGGTGCTCCAATGGAGATGAGGCTGCTTAATGAGATGCCCTTTTCAAAATGTCATCCTAATCTTTTATTAGTTTAAGAAAGAAAGCTGGGGCAATCAACATGCAGCTCAAGGGGAGGAAATTCAAGAGTACTCAACTAATAGGACTCTGCTTAAGTGACTTTCAAACTGTTCTGAAGGACAATAGTTGTAGACTTTTCAATAGTCATCCTGTGGATCAGATAACTTACTATAACTTAACAAAATACCTGAGACAATCACCTTTCAAAGATGAAAGATTTCTCTTGGCTCATAGTTTTAGAGGTTTCAGACTATGGGTGTTTGGCTTCATCTCTTTGAGTATGTGCCAAAGCACCATATCATGGAGGAAGCATGTAGTAGAGCAAAATGCCCACCTCATAGTGCCTGAAGAGCAAAGAAGGAGGAAGAGGAAGGGACCAGAGTCCCAATATCCCCTTGAGGTCTTGCCCCTCAGTGGCCAGAAGGCATCCCACTATGCCCCACCATTTTTTTCTATACTTTAAAATTTTGCTTATTTTTTGCGATCGTCATGTATGACATCATTTCCACCCCCTCCTCCAACTCCTCCCTTTCAATATCCTGAGATAATTATTATTGTTAGGTGTGTGTGTATAAACAATCCACTGTGTCCAGTTAGTGTTGTTAGTATGTACATGTGTTTGTGGCTGACCACTTCAGATTGGGTAACCTATCTGAGATTGGATAATCTATCAGGGAAATCATTCCTGGAGAAAACTGATTCTCTCCCAGCAGCCATTAGTTTCCTATAGCTCTTCATCTAGAGGTGGGACCTTGTGAGATTTCCCCCATTCACATTGGCATGTCAACTGGTGTTGTCATTCTGCAGGTCTTGTTTAGGCAACCCTATTGTTGAGATTTCCTGGTTGCAGCTTCTTTTCAAATATCTATTGGGCCTGAGCAACCAACCCATGGCCACTTATTCTCTGCATTTGGTCCAGTTGTAGTTCTCTGTAATTGTCTCCATCTGCTGCAAAAGAAGCTTCTTTGATGAGAGGTGACAGCTACACTTATCTGTGGGTTTAAGGATAAGTACTTAGAATACAGTTAGAAATTATATTGATTTAGGGGAATGGCAGTAGTAGGTTCTCCTCTGGGGTCTATGACCTCTCCAGCCATGGGTGTTTGGCTACATTTTCAGTACGAGGCATGAATTCCCTCCCACTGAGTTGGTCTTAAGTCCAATTAGACAGGAGGTGTGGGTTACCCTCAGAATAAAAGCACTATTAAGGCTATCTTGCTGAGGCCCACCACCTCCCAGTGGCACCCCAGGCTCGGGACCAAGCCTTCAACACAAGGATGTTTGAAGAACACCCGAAATTCAAACCTCAGCATCTGAGTTTTACAGGACTGGTATGTCACCTGAATGGTTCCTCCAGGCGCTGTCTTGCAGCAGGGCTCAGCCTCTCACTCAATTGAATCTCACTCACATGAGAACTCACAGCTGTGCTCATTCCCACTAAACACCTTCTGCCGGATAAACAGAGAGAGCAGCCCTAATCTGAAAATCTGAAATAATGTTCCAAAATCTGAAACTTCCTGAGCACCAACATGACACTCAAAAGTTTTCAGTGTATTTTGGATTTGCGGTAGTCAACCAGTAAAGTCTATGCAAATCAACCAAAATCTGAAGGAAAAAAAAGACTTCTGGTCCGGAGCATTTCAGCTAAGGGGCGCTCAACTATTAAAATAAAAATTAGTTATATTCTATAATATTTTTTAAATAACCACTAGAACTTTTAATTCTGTTCTATGTTACCCATAAATTGCACAAAATCAAAAGTAGAAGGAGAGCAAACTCAGAGAGATTCAGCACATAGAAAAAGCCCACCCTCCCCCTGGGAAAGCAAGAGCTCATTTCATTGGGTCTGGTAAAGAACAGCAATCTTTGTTGGGTTTTTTTTTTTTCCTTCCCTTTTACTTTAAATCTTTTCTCCAGTTGAAACCTCATACTGAATTCAAGAATATTAACTACATAGAGGCAGAACTTCCCTTCAGGGTTGGAGGAACCAAGCCCCTGGTTCTCCTCTAACAAACCCAGCTTGGAAAACCATTGGTTTAAGCCAGTGGGTTGAGCCCAGCATGGTGGCACACGCCTTTTATCCCAGCACTCAGGAGGCAGAGGCCAGCAGATCTCCGTGAGTTCAAGGCCAGCCTGGTCTACATAGTGAAACCCTGTCTGGGATGGGGTTGTGGGTTGTGGAAGGAAAGAAAGGAACAGTGACTCTCACAGTGTCGTTCCTGAGGCAGCAGCCCTGGCAGCACCCTGCAACATGGAAGAATACACATCCTCAGACCCTACCCCGGAAGTACCGACTGTGAAGCTGGGGGGGGGGTTAGGAGAGGAAATCACTTAGCTGAACCTTGAAGAAAGGAAGGAACGTGCATGTGTACAGAGAACAAGTAGTCAAGCCATGTTGGGACAGCAGCAAAAACAAGGGACTGTGACAAGGGCATCCAGCAGAGCAGAAGGCTCATGATGGAGGGTAGGGAGAGACAAGACTGGCCTCAGAATAGCAGGGCACACAGACACAGAAAGAGTCCACCCAGTGTCCCCCATGCTTCCTGGACACTGGACCTCCTAACATCTGTGATTCTAGAACTAGTGGCTCTGGACCACGTGGGAAGGGCAGAACAGGGAGACAGGGCTAGAGATAACCTGACAAGCCATATGTCTGAGAGAAGCACTTGGTATCCAGACAGAGGGTTAAAGCAGTGATATACCTCTTGCCCAGCCTCCTCCCAGCATGCTGTGGGCCCTGATGGATCTTCTCGAGAGTGCTGGTGAGGGTAAGACAGTGCTTGGGAAACGAGCCCTGAATGGACTATAGGGGTGTGGGGTGCAGACTCAGGTGGGCTCTGTGCAGAGTAGAGCCTTCCTCAGCCTCCTCTACTCTGAGATGGACTATTGGGTAGGAGTTTGGACAGGAGGGCTGTTGACCCTAGGAATACAAAAACACTGCTGAGTCAGGGACTGAGATATTAGAACATTGTTGCCACCTGTTGCTGCCACCAGGGAGTCAGATGAGTTCAGCAAGTCCAGTATGGAGAAACCAGGCCCTTGACTTCATCACAGAAAAAAACCAAATGACAAGTATCCAGGCAGATGGGTGGGATTCTTGTGCCAAGCCCAGTGACAGATCTTTACTGCCCTTAAGCTCATAATTCTAAGAGGCCCCAGCCTCCAGAAATCCCCTATTAAAAATTATTTTGTAGGGATGGAGAAATGGCTCAATAGTTAGGAACACTTGATGCTCTTCCACAGGACTCAAGTTTGGCTCCCAGTACCCAAGACAGGCAGCTCATGGCTATCTGATACTCCAGCTCCAGGGGGTCAAATACCCTCTTCTGGTCACTACAATCACCTGTACATCATGGCACATACATAGAGACACACAGACAGACAGACAGACACACACACACACAGAGATCAATAAACCTTTTAAAATGCGTGGTGGGGGGAGTATGGTGACACATGCCTTTAATCTAACACTCGGGAGGCAGAAGCAGACAGATCTCTGAGTTCAAGGCCAGCCTTATCTACATAGTGAGTTCCAGGCCAGCTGGCTATAGGAAGACCCTGTCTCAAAAAAAAAAAAAAGCCATATATTTTCTTAAGTGGTTTTGTTAGCAAAAGCTTTCTCTGAAGCAGCCCTGGTTTTGCCCCAGGGCAAGCTAAATATCCCTTACTCAGAATGCTTGGAACCAGAAATACTTAGAATTTCAGATTTGTTTTCAGACGGTTGTTTTCTGCCATTTGGGTGCTGGGACTCAAACCTGGGTCCTCTGCAAGAGCAGTCAGTGTTCTTAACACTGAGCCATCTCTCCAGCCCCTAGATATACAATATTTTTAATAACTTTGCATGTGTTGAGTGTGACCCATCAATGTGAGGTCAGGTGTGGAATTTTTAACTCATGACACATGTTAATGCTCAAAATGTTTTGGATTTTGGAGTATTTGCATTTTGATTTTCAGATGCAAAGATTCTCAACCTTGGTAGTGGCTTCTTTTTGCTTACTGATTTGGTAAACACCTATCAGATACCTTACTTGGTCCAGGTCTGGACCACATGTAGGGGACATAAGATTAAACATACCCCAGTCAGGGAAGAAGGCACCACAGAGACAGAAAGTGGTTACACGGCAGAATCTAACAGGCCTCCCTGGAGACTCCCCGGCATATCATAGGGACACTTCCAAAGAAGGAGCAAATATTTTTTCTTGGAGGACAAGCAAGGGCTGCCTGGAGTCGGAGGCCTAACTTATACTAAGGAGTATGTTCACAGACCATGGATGGGAGATATCCTCCATGGAAGCCATGTTGGAACTAACAAATGGTACTGTCCCTGCTGACAGCATCTGAGGGGTCAGGAGGCCAATCCTGAGTCACTGCAGTAATAACTTGCCATCTGGAAAGGCTCCATCAACCTTGAGAGCCAGCAAGCCAAACCAAAGCTGACCTATCAGTGGAGTTGGCAGCCTACAGATTTGTGCCATGAACCAGCTCCAGAGAAAGGGTGAACTGCCAGGGCCCCTGCACGGTTCACCACCCTTGGACTCCAGGACCTCTCCCTCCTGCTCATCCCCGATTCTCTTCAGGTTTCCAGCTGTGGTCGCAGGAAGTGGGAAAGCAGGTCAGGATTTTCCCACAGGCCCCAAGACAGACACACAGCAAACCCAGCTAGGCCTCTCCC